CTCTTGTCCTGACGTGTGGGGTCGACGTGACCTCACTCGTCCTGGCGTGTGGGGTCGGCGTGACCTCTTGTCCTGACGTGTGGGGTCGACGTGACCTCACTCGTCCTGGCGTGTGGGGTCGACGTGACCTCTTGTCCTGACGTGTGGGGTCGGCGTGACCTCACTCGTCCTGGTGTGTGGGGTCGACATGACCTCTTGTCCTGACGTGTGGGGTCGGCGTGACCTCTTGTCCTGACGTGTGGGGTCGACGTGACCTCTTGTCCTGACGTGTGGGGTCGGCGTGACCTCACTCGTCCTGGTGTGTGGGGTCGACGTGACCTCTTGTCCTGACGTGTGGGGTCGGCGTGACCTCACTCGTCCTGGTGTGTGGGGTCGACGTGACCTCTTGTCCTGACGTGTGGGATCGACGTGACCTCACTCGTCCTGGTGTGTGGGGTCGACGTGGCCTCACTCGTCCTGGCGTGTGGGGTCGACGTGACCTCTTGTCCTGACGTGTGGGGTCGGCGTGACCTCACTCGTCCTGGTGTGTGGGGTCGACGTGACCTCTTGTCCTGACGTGTGGGGTCGGCGTGACCTCACTCGTCCTGGTGTGTGGGGTCGACGTGACCTCTTGTCCTGACGTGTGGGGTCGACGTGACCTCACTCGTCCTGGTGTGTGGGGTCGACGTGACCTCACTCGTCCTGGTGTGTGGGGTCGACGTGACCTCTTGTCCTGACGTGTGGGGTCGGCGTGACCTCACTCGTCCTGGTGTGTGGGGTCGACGTGACCTCTTGTCCTGACGTGTGGGATCGACGTGACCTCACTCGTCCTGGTGTGTGGGGTCGACGTGACCTCTTGTCCTGACGTGTGGGATCGACGTGACCTCACTCGTCCTGGCGTGTGGGGTCGACGTGACCTCTTGTCCTGACGTGTGGGGTCGGCGTGACCTCACTCGTCCTGGTGTGTGGGGTCGACGTGACCTCTTGTCCTGACGTGTGGGGTCGACGTGACCTCACTCGTCCTGGCGTGTGGGGTCGACGTGGCCTCACTCGTCCTGGTGTGTGAGGTCGACGTGACCCCTTGTCCTGACGTGTGGGGTCGACTTGACCTCTTGTCCTGACATGTTGGGTCGACGTGACCTATCGTCCTGATGTGACCTCGGGGGCTAATCTGATTGAATCTGACCTCCCATGACGAGGTCTTGAGCTATTTGAACTGACCTTGCCTGACACATCATGCCCCGTCTTAAACTGACTAGAACCTCAGCGGGCTGACCTGATTTGAGCCAAGTTTTCTTGACGTTAGCTGACCTTGCACGACTGACCTGAGTCAAATGACCCTGACGTAATCTGGCCTGACCTGTGCGGTTGCAGAGCTCGGACCTGGTGGAGGATGTGCGTCGTCTGCAGAGCCGGCTGGCCCAGGTCGAAAACCACACGGCACACCAGCGCGCCAAGCTGCTTGAGGAGCTAGAAATGAAGAAGAAAACTATACTCAGGCTGCAGAGCATCATAGAACGACAGAAAGATTACAACGACATCAAAAAGGGCATCGTGTAAGTGCTTTTGATATGTTTATAGGCAGTGCGCGGCACAACGTACAGACTTCCCCGTCACACTTTTTTGTCCTGTGTTTTTTTTAGTGCAATGGAAAGAAATCACCATGCTACTAATTTGCTTGTCCTTTTACCGAAAAACGCGTAGCTTTCCGGTGTTTCTGTCAACAATAGATGCATTCATCGCAGCTACCCTTCCCATTGATATTTAGTAGCAAAAAGTAAGCAGAGCACGGAAATATTATTTTATTGATTGCACAAGATCCTGTCAAACCTGCAGTTGTTCCCGATTGAGCTGTTTTTGATTTGCCTTAGTTGTTTACTTCGTCACGCACCACGGCGATGCAGTCAAACGGTCGGAAGGCCTCCTTTTATTTAGTTATCTTGTTCCCAGATTTTCACGACACAACAGTACACCTCTCACCTTTTAGCATTCATTTTTCATAAATGTCCGTTTGTTATATGCAGTGCTGTTCGCCCGCTGTCGTGCTGTGCTGTTCACCTGCTTTTGTGCCGTGCTGTTCACCTGCTGTTGTGCCGTGTTGTTCACCTGCTGTCGTGCCGCGCTGTTCACCTGCTGCTGTGCATTGTTGTTCACGTGCTGCTGGGCCGTGTTGTTCCCGTGCTGTCGTGCCGTACTGTTCGTCTGCTGTCGTGCTGTGGTGCTTTCTTTCTTTCGCCTTTCGCCTGGTGCTGTGCAGCGCTGACGCGTTTCCCTCTGCTTGGCAGGATCCTGAAGTCGATTAAAGCGGGCGGCGCGGGCTCGGACGCCTCGGACGGGGGCGGGCCGCCGGCCTCGCCACCGGCCGGCAAGTCCTTCGACGTGCTGAAGGAGCTACAGAACGAGCGGACCGAGGTCAAGACCAGCATGTCAGGCCCGCTCGGTGAGTGCTGCTGGGGTTGCTGACTCCGCTGTCACGCGGCTGCCTCCTCGCCCCGTTCTCTGCGAGCACGCTCGGACATTAAAGGACTGCTGTAATCTGCGATTGTTTGGCTCGCGAAGTGGTTGAGGGTTGTGATATGCTTGATAAGCTATAAGCACACCCTCCCGAATTGAGCAGAAATGCTCGATATTTTTGACAGAGTGATCTGCTTATGCTGAGTGATCATGTAGACTTACTGCTTTGTAAATGCGTTATTAATTTTTCAGTCTGCGATTTTTGGCTGTAAATCCTTCTGGGAATATCTGTAGACATTGCATCAGATTTGGTTCTGTCAAAGCTGCCGCGAAGCTTAAAAGATTTTAAGGATTTTAGGCATCACATTACGTTGCTTTTGCATGGCTGCACTACGCAATGACAAAACGAGGTTCATTGAGAACGTTTTACGCCGTCATGGCTCGGCTCGTGTCTGCACTCATTGAAGCGAAGAGCAGCCTGTCAAGTTCCACTACGAGCGAGGTGGTCCGTAGGCGCGGAAAACAACGCGCTGCAGACTTCAGACAATGGGCCAACCGAAACCCATTTCCATTCAAAATGTCTTATCGAAATGGTGCGGTTTTGTTGCCTTGTGCTGATGCCATGCCTCCCGAAGAGGTCGTTCCGAAACGAAGCGACTGGCGGCTCGCTCAGTGGGGGGGGGGGGGGGGGGATCCACGCTCAGCGCCTTATGGAGTGCCCCAGACCAGGTTTACTGAGGGAAAAGTGTTAATGTGTTCAGTGCACGAAAGACAGAGTATTCTGCGGTCCAAACTATCACCACCACTTCCCCTGTCACTCTGATACAAGCCCCCATATCCCGGCCGGCAAAAAGAACTACCCGCCTCAGCTGTTTGCTGCTTCACTTACCGTTGTTTTTATTTGTTTCCGGGTTTTTGCGTTAGCTGTTGATGGGCCATGTTGGCCGCGATCACCGGCTGCCGGCATCGCCGCCGGTGGCGACGCGTCCAGTTGCCCCCCCCCCCCTCCCTCCCCGTCTGTCCCCTGTTTGACAGCTGACGTGGGAACATGACGGGTCGACCCCGTGTCGGCTGGCTGTCCCCTCTTGGGCTGAAACGTGACCCGAGTGGCGGCCCTGATTGGTGCCGGCCGCTGGGTGGGCCGCTCACCCCGCCGCGTCAGCTGGTGACGTGTGAACAAGGCCATAGCACCGATTCATGACAGGTTTAAAATGCACTGCCTGCTCCGAGATATCCTGTCTGGTCCGAGACACTCCCACTGGTCCGAGACTCCCCCTTGTCCGATATTACCACTGGTCCGAGACACTCCCTGATCCGAGACTCTCCTTGTTCCAAGACTCTCCCTGTTCCATGACTCTCCCTGGTCCGAGACTCTCCCTGGTCCGAGACATTCCCTGGTCCGAGACTCTCCCTGGTCCAAGACACTCTCTGGTCCGAGACTCTTCCTGGTCCGAGACACTCTCTGGTCCCAGGCACTCCCTGATCCGAGACTCTCCCTGGTCCGAGACTCTCCCTGTTCCGAGACACTCCCTGGTCCGAGACTTTCCCTGGTCCAAGACTCTCCCTGGTCCGAGACTCTCCCTGGTCCGAGACTCTCCCTGGTCCGAGACACTCTCTGGTCCCAGGCACTCCCTGATCCGAGACTCTCCCTGATCCGAGACTCTCCCTGGTCCGAGACACTCCCTGGTCCAAGACACTCCCTGGTCCGCAGGTGGCAGCACGGAGCTGGGTGCCCCACGGCGTCATGCATCAGGGAAGGCCTTTCAAAATGGATAATTAAGCCATTGGTTGTAAGATCGTTGCGATGAAAGAAAGATGGTAGACAACCTGCGGTGCGCATCACAGGTTGAGTTGAGTATTTTTGTCTTTTGACGGTCCGGCAGTCCCTCTCTCGCAAACTGCTCCCAGTTCTCAACCCAATGGGGAAGACAATGTGCTACTTGGTCCACAGCCTGCTGCCTCATCTGTCAGTGTGTCATGCGCCGCCCGACGTCTCGCTCGTTCCAGTAACCCTTTGTCAATACGTTGCCTCACGTCCTCACTCATCGCGCTAGGACGTCGCTTCCGCCGCAGTGCTTTGCTGAGGTTTGATATCACATGCTCTGCAGTGATACCAGTGGTTACCATTTTGTACAACGTCAGGGAGTTTTCATTCCAGCTGTTGAACGAGGGGAGTATGGGGCGCGGCGTCACCTGGCCTCCGCTCTCTTGGTTCGTGCTGTGTGTGACGTCACAAGGTCTTTGTTCGGGGTGTTCCTCTGTGTGAGTGACGTTACATGTTTGCCGGTCGGCAGGCGAGCCGCGGCCGCCGCTGGTGGAGCCGTCGCTGCTCGGGTTCCGCGGCCCCACCGCCTGCCGGCCGCCGTTCCTGCCCACGCCACCGTTCCCGTTTCCGCCGTTCCCGACGGCAAGTGGCGCGCTGGTGACGCTAGCGGCGCGCTCGTCTCCCTCGCCGCCGGAGCGGCGCGGCTCGCTCTCGCCCCCGGAACGCGCCCGAGCGACGCCCGAGAGCGAGCCGGGCGCCCCGGGCCAGCCGAGCCCGCCGGCGCCGGAGCCGGCCGCCGCCTTCCGCTACGACGAAAACGACCCGCTCATTCCGAAGAGCGACCCGATGGAGACGCGCCTGCAGGAAATGCTGCGCTACAACATGGACAAGTACGCCAACCAGAGCCTGGACACGCTGCAGCTCTCGCGGCGCGTGCGCGAGCTGCTCAGCATCAACAACATCGGCCAGCGTATGTTCGCGCGCTACATCCTCGGCCTGTCCCAGGGCACAGTCAGCGAGCTGCTGAGCAAGCCCAAGACCTGGGAGAAGCTGACGGAGAAGGGGCGCGACAGCTACCGCAAGATGCACGCCTGGGCCGTTGACGACGCGGCTGTGTGCCTGCTCAAGGCTGTCATACCGAAGCGAGGTAAGTGCGCAGCTGCGAGCAGCCGCGATGGACGGGCAGGGACGAGTAGGGACGAGCGGGGACGAGCGGAGACGAGCAGGGACGAGCGGAGGCGAGCAGGGACGAGAAGAGACGAGCGGGGACGAGCGGAAATGAGCAGGGATAATCAGAGACGAGCGGGAACGAACAGAGACGAGCGGGGACGAGCGAGGGGGCGAGTGGTGACAGGGGCCGGCTCGTTCTCAAGACCCCGAGATCTGGCATTCAGGGATCATTGGTGATTGTGGCCACACGCAGGTGAATACCGACTGGGTGGGATATTGCGGACTAAGCGTTGACATTGGCCTCTACATACCGGCCACGGCCAATGACGCAGCATAGCCCGAGTCATTAGCTTTGACCACCGCGTACCTGTCACGGCCAATGGCACGGCTCGGTGTCAGTGGCCCCGAGCTCGAGTCCCACGCTCCGTTAAGAGGACGAGCGTGTCAGAGCTTGGGATTCCCTGGGCGGCCCGGTACAGAGCGGCTGAGCCGACTCAGGTGACCGCCGCGCCGCCGAGCTGCGCCTCCCGTCAGCCCGGGCGGACCGAGATGGCGGCTCGGCCGGCCCCACGGCGCCCCGGCGTCGGCCGCTCGCAGCCCGCTCACCAGGACGGCCGCCGCCGCCGGCCGTGTGACGAGGCCACCGCCGCCGGCCGTGTGACGAGGCCCCGCCGCCGGCCGCTCGCAGCCCGCTCACCAGGACGGCCGCCGCCGCCGGCCGTGTGACGAGGCCCCGCCGCCGGCCGTGTGACGAGGCCCCGCCGCCGGCCGCTCGCAGCCCGCTCGCCAGGACGGCCGCCGCCGCCGGCCGTGTGACGAGGCCCCGGCGTCGGCCGTGTGACGAGGCCCCGGCGTCGGCCGCTCGCAGCCCGCTCGCCGGGACGGCCGCCGCCGGGCCCCGGCGTGACGAGGCCCCGGCGTCGCGGCAGGCTATCCTGGCTTTCGTCTCGCCCGCAGCTGGGCTCCGCGCGCCGCGGCGTCCGGCAGATATGGCAACGCGACTTGAGCGGTACCCCGACGAGCTCACCGATCCGTACGGCCGGCGGCCGGCGCCGGACGCCAAATGAGGCCGTGACTCATCCACTTCAGAGGGCCGGCGGCGATTCTTCTGCTTCCTGGCGGGCCTGGGGCGGCGCCTCGGGCTCCAAGCATTCCGACCGAGCGCAAGCCGCGACCAGAACGGTGACTCAGTCGCATACACGGCGCCCCTCTCACCGTGTCCCGATATGTCCTGCCGTGCCATAGCCGACGGCGAGCCCTGATCCTCCGCGGTCCGGCTGCCAGCGCTAGCGCAACCGCGGACCCCGACTCCAGCACAGCCGCGGACCCCGACGCCAGCACAGCCGCAGGCGCCGACGCCAGACGAGAACGACAATGACGTCATCGATGGGTTCGTCGCGCGTCGCTGGAGATTGGGTTCCCGAGCCGCTGATGAACAATCGGGCAGGCCAGATCGACTGACGGCTAATGAAATGATCAGTAATTAAATCACGACGACGCTACAGTCTACTTGGCGTCAGCGTTCGGCTGATGCCATCGTCAATTTAATTGCGTCTGCAATCGAGGAAAAAATCCAAACAGCTTCGGGGCCAGGCGGTCGACGAGCCGGGAGCCACGATCCAGCCAATGCTTTTCTGTCCGTGGCGCAAGCCCACTGCTGGTACCGCGATCATGCTCTATCGCGCCCTCTCTCGAAGGTCCTGGTGCTGCCGTCGCCCGGCGCCAGGGCTCAGGTGCGTCCCGCGCCGGGGGAGGGGAGGGACGACAGGGGTGGGTGCCCGGGTGCCCGACGGTGCCTGTCGCGGCTGCCTCGCGTCGCTGTTCGGTTTACGACCGGCTGTATAAGTTTGCGATTGTCCCGCAGCCGGTCGATCTGACGGAGCGCGTCGTGTGGCGGCCCGGGGCTGATGACCACCAATGGCTGGCTAGTATCCGCTGGTGCCGCCCGGGACTAATGACCACCAATGGCTGGCTAGTATCCGCTGGTGCCGCTCGGGACTGATGACCACCAATGGCTGGCTAGTATCCGCTGGTGCCGCCCGGGACTGATGACCATCAATGGCTGGCTAGTATCCGCTGGTGCCGCTCGGGACTGATGACCACCAATGGCTGGCTAGTATCCGCTGGTGCCGCTCGGGACTGATGACCACCAATGGCTGGCTAGTATCCGCTGGTGCCGCTCGGGACTGATGACCACCAATGGCTGGCTAGTATCCGCTGGTGCCGCCCGGGACTGATGACCATCAATGGCTGGCTAGTATCCGCTGGTGCCGCTCGGGACTGATGACCACCAATGGCTGGCTAGTATCCGCTGGTGCCGCCCGGGACTAATGACCACCAATGGCTGGCTAGTATCCGCTGGTGCCGCTCGGGACTGATGACCACCAATGGCTGGCTAGTATCCGCTGGTGCCGCTCGGGACTAATGACCACCAATGGCTGGTTAGCATCCGCGGGTGGCGTTAGCGGTGCGGCCGTGATGCCATCGCCGTGGTGGACTGACGAAGTGATAGCTCGCCCCGTTGTGGCACTTCTGTAGTGTCAGCAATCATTACCGAATTGAGCACTGCTAACTCTTGTTCTTTTCGGCGGTCGACATGAAGCCCCTTTTGGTGTCACCAGCATGCATTTATGTTTCAGGGCATACTTCCATTTTTTTTCGGATGCTTTTCAAATAGCTGCTGATATAGACGCGATGGTTTCCGAGAACACAAGTGGGAACACTGGTCACAGGTGACGGCTGGGGCACGACTGACTGCTGGCTATGCGATACCTAAGAAAATAAATGTACGTACTTAAAGGGAACTTTCTACATCTGAGTCTGGTTTTGAACTAGAATAGTCATCTTGAAGACCATTCGGCGCAGTTCACAGCCCTGCCCTTCTTAAGACGCTAAACCCCCTAGTTCTGAGCTCCACGCCTGCGAATATGAGCGGACCATTTTGTGCACACTTTTTCAAAGTCCCCCAGACATCCATGACACTATAATAACGCCACTCAAGTCCTACCGTTCCCTTCGTCATGCGCTGATCAAGGCCAAGAAAAATATAATTTTCGGATCGTTCACATGTGACGTTGATGAGGGCAATTTCCAAACATCAGGGCTCTCAGTTTGGTCTCAGTCAATGTCGTGGAAGCTCATGTGACGCAATCAAACAATGACGAATTGAGGAGCATATTTACTGGGCATAAAAACGTGTTGTCTGGGGCAATTCTGTCCACTTATTATACCAACAGTTTTAAGTGAGCTTATTTATTCATATCTGATGCTTTCTTTTATGTCTTCAAATGCGGAACATCCCCTTTGAGAGAAGTGGCCGTCGTGTGGCTGAGGAAACCGCTGCTGTCGCTCCGATATTTCCACCGCCTCGTCCCCCTACGTCGCCGCCTCCGTCGCCACACCCGATGCAATAGATACCGATGCCAATGTGCCGACCCTGTTTGCGCTCGCCACCCGCCAAATCGGACTGGGGCGGTAATTGTGCTGGCCGCGCGGCGACACCATTCAGCGCCGTCCGTCGCCGCCGCCGCCCTGTTGACGGCGCCCGTCCGCTGACGCACCTCGTCGTCATCGACGCCGCTTACCTGTCATTGACGGCGCGGCCCGGCCGCCCGACCGCTGTTTGTTTTACATTTCGCAACACGCTGCTCGATTGTGATTGGTCGGCGGCGGCTCAGTGTCGGCCAGCTATGTCGCGGGGCAAACAGCCGGGCGGCCGGCGTCTTCGACAGGTGCAAACAGTGCGCCTGAAAGGACGGCGGCGACGATCTGTTTGCGCTGCCGGTGACCTGTAGGGAACGGGCGGCGATGCATCGAACGGTGCGTGAGCTATGCGGCGACTCATGCCTTCTAATGACCGGCGGCGCGATGGCACCGGCGGGCATTGTGCTGCTGCAGGAGAACACGCAGGCGACCGGTAGAAACGCGTCAGTAGATCCGGCACGTATCCGCCCGCACCCATACTTTAACAAAGCTTGTGCAAAGCTTTTGGAGGTTTTGACATGCACTCCTACATTTGCACGCCATTGAGCAAGAACTTTACGTGAAGTTTTTGACCCTGTGCAGGATTAGGATAAAAGCAAATAGACACTCAAAATTTGACAAATATTTACTCTTTGCGTCCCTCATGCTTGTGTTTCGCTGGAAATCAAGTAGTCACCTACCTTCGTCAGGTTCTTCGTTTCAATGTGTTTTAATGGCATTGCACCCGTGAAATCAGGAAAAACTTCGTATGGACTAAACTGATGTTGTATATAAGCTGAACGAGTCCATTCGTTGATGACATCGGGTGGCTGGGTGCATACGCAGAACTGAAGTCGATGTAAGCACCGGACGAGTCCATTTCCTGGCTCTGGGATCAAAGAAAACTGTCCTCTCAAGCCGGGCTCGTGTGCTCCTACCGGCATTTCCGACGATCCCAAGCGCGAGACGGCGCATCCACGACCATCGACTTCATCTCCTGACGTCACCGGTCACGTGGTCAGTCGGCGACGGCTCGGGGCCGACAGAGCCAGCGGCGGCTCGGGGCCGACGCAGACAGCGGCGGCTCGGGGCCGACACAGCCAGCGGCGGCTCGGGGCCGACACAGACAGCGGCGGCTCGGGACCGACTCAGTCAGCGGCGGCTCGGGGCCGACACAGCCAGCGGCGGCTCGAGGCCGACACAGCCAGCGGCGGCTCGGGGCCGACACAGCCAGCGGCGGCTCGGGGCCGACACAGCCAGCGGCGGCTCGGGGCCGACACAGACAGCGGCGGCTCGGGGCCGACACAGCCAGCGGCGGCTCGGGGCCGACACAGCCAGCGGCGGCTCGAGGCCGACACAGCCGGCGCCAAGCGTGCCTGAGAGTGACTCCTCCGCGGGCTCGCCGCGGTGCGCCGCACTGGCAACCCCGGTCGCATCGCCGGCCTAATTGGGCGTACGTGCCGTTCGACCGGCGTTTCCCCAACGATTTGCCGGTGGCGCGAGCTAGACGCCCGT